CCGGCTCCCCGCCCGGCCCCGCGCCCAGCCCGGCCCGGCACTGCGACCCTGGCCCGGCCTGGCCCCCGGCCCCGCACCGGCCCCGGCGACCCCAGACAAAGAGGCCCCGGCCAAGCCCTCCCGATTTTCCCGGACATGCCCGGCTTTTGGGGATTTCCCCCCGGACGGGGATTTGAGCCCCCAAAAGCCGGACATGTCCGGGAAAATCCGGACGTATGGTAACCCTAGGGTTACTCCCCAGCTTGCTAAGGACTTGCTGCCATACCCACAGTCTCTTTAAGGCAGTCTTATTGTCCAAACTTAAACAAACCAGTTCCTCAGCTCACCCTTTACATTTTGGGCTCTCACTGCCTCCTCTCTCAGGGGACTTTGGCAGTCCTGCTACTGCAGTGGAGGGCAAACATTTTGGCCTGAGGGCCACATCTGGGTATGGAAATTGTATGGCGGGCCATGAATGCTCACAAAATTGGGGGTTGGGGTGGGGGGGTGAGGGCTCCGGCTGGGGGTGCGGGCTCTGGGGTGGGGCCAGAAATGAGAGGTTCAGGGTGCGGGAGGGGGCTGCAGGCTAGAGGTGGAGCAGAGGGGTTTGGAGTATGGGAGGGGGCTCTGGGCTGAGGCTGGGGTTAGGGTGACCAGATGTCCTGATTTTACAGGGACAGTCCCGATTTTGGGGTCTTTTTCTTATATAGGTTCCTATTACCCCCCACCCCCGTCCTGATTTTTCACATTTGCTGTCTGGTCACCCTAGCTGGGGTTGGGGTGTGGGAGGGGATATGGGCTCGGGGCTGGAGGTGTGGGTTCCAGGGTGGGGCCAGAAATGAGAGGTTCAGGGTGTGGGAGGGGGCTGCAGGTGGAGCAGAGGGGTTTGGAGTATGGGAGGGGGCTCTGGGCTGAGGCAGGAGGTTGGGGTGTGGGAGGGGATACGGGCTCTGGGCTGGAGGTGTGGGTTCCAGGGTGGGGCCAGAAATAAGAGGTTCGGGGTGCAGGAGGGGGCTCTGGGCTGGGACACAAGGTCGGGGTGTGGGGGAGGGGGCTCCGAGCTAGGGCTGAGGGGTTCAGAGTGCAGGACTGGGCTCCGGGCTGGGGCAGGGGATTGGGGTGTGTGTGGAGTGGTGAGGGCTCTGGCTGGGGGTGCAGGCTCTGGGGTGTGGCTGGGAATGAAGGGTTTGAGGTGCAGGAGGGTGCTCCGGGCTGGGGCCGAGGGGTTCGGAGGGCAGGAGGGGGATCAGGGCTGAGGCAAGGGGTTGGAGTGCGGGAGGAGGTCAGGGGTGCAGGCTTCAGGTGGCTCTGCATGCGGCCCTGTCTGCAGGCGCCGCTCCCGGAGCTCCCATTGGCCGTGGTTCCCGGCCAGTGGGAGCTGCAGAGCTTGTGCTTGGGGCGGGGACAGCGCGCGGAGCCTCCTGGCTGCCCCTACGTGTAGGAGCCGGAGGGGGGACATTCTGGTGCTTCTGGGAGCCGCACGGCACAGGGCAAGCCCCTTACCCCGCTCCCCGACAGGAACTGGAGGGCCATATTAAAAGGTTTGATGGGCCAGATGTGGCCTGTGGGCCATAGTTTGCCCACACCTGTGCTACTGCCTGCAGTTTTCTCTCTCTTAGCCAGTCCCTTCTCATTGTGTCTCTCTCTGACCCTTTATAGCCTCAGGTGCAGTCCTGCTCCTTAATTGGCCTAACTGGGAGTACCTGTTCTGGCACAGTAGGCTGGGTCTACTTCAGTGCCCAATCCTCCTATCTCTGAAGACAATGTGAAAACTTCCTTTGACTTCAATGGGAACAAATTGGATTTCATGTATATGAGGTGACAAAGTAGATAATTTTTGCTGATTTGTGTCCATTGTAATTCATTACTATAAGCAAACACATAATTATATGTAAGAACATGGAGTTGTTGCCAAGGATTTTGCCACTTTAACTTGTTTTGTATCATATAGGCCATAATGCAGATGTGTATTAATATTGATATGTGCATTAAAATGTACTTTTAAAAATGAAATACCTCTACTTGTTCTATATTTTAATAATGCCTAAAAGGCCAGGCCTACATTACAAACCAACTGTGAAAAGGCTCACTGAAACAAAAGCATTTTGAGTTGTAGGAACACCAATGATTTTGAAAATAAAAGAACAATGGGCCTGATGCTTCTTCCATTTAAGTCAATGGAAAGACTCCCATTAGACTTTAGTTTCAGGGTTCAGCAGATCAGTTTGAAGTGCTTACATTCAAAACAACACTATATCACCTCCTTTCAGGAAGAAAAACAAACAAACATACAGTAGGAGATGAAATGTCACCAGATCAGAACTATGATTCTTGGTAAAACATGCATGCAGTTGAACTCTTGGTAAAGTAAAACAACAGATCTCAATTCTTTTAGGATAAAATAAGAAGCTGCATTCACCGTAACATAAGCTTAGAGGTTACACAGTGCTGTAATAAGCTTGTGTGTTATAAAATACAAGGCATACGCTGAAGGTTAAAGTCCTAGGAGACAGCATAGGCTGCTTTCACCGTGATTTCTGACTAAAAAGTCTTTTGTTCTCTGTCCCAAGCTCCAAGGTTTATCATTTTATTTTTGTAATATTCACCACGTTTTTTGCCGTGCTTTAACTACATAATGCAAATTCCTAAATATTCCTCTTTTTAAAGAAATCTCAGTAAGGAGAGAATTAATGTTAACAGGCCACATCATACCTCCTGATCAGAATGTGGAAGGTCCCCCTCTCAGGTGTGGATTGTATCCCTCCTGTGCAGATGGGACAGTCAGATACACATGGCTGGCTGGAAGGGAATGGGAGGTTCCAGGTTGCGGGTTAACACGGGAGGAGGGAAACAGGGCAGTATCTGGAAAAAATATTACAACAGCATGAGTCCCAAATCATGTTGCAGCTCCACCAGACATAGCAGCAGCAGGGACAGTAGCGTAGACCCCCCGCAACATCGTGGTTAAAATACTGGTAGCTAGTGGCACTTCAACAGCCTGTTGCTATACTGGTACATGTTACAGAAATGCAGTCTTGGACAACACTTGTGTAATTTAGCAAAGCAAGAAAGTATTTCTCAGGTTATTTTAAAAGTAACTTTATATCGCTGATGCCGGTGGCTGTGGAGCTAGGTCACAGGCATACACACACACACATTCGTTCAATGGCAATGCACTTTGAGAAGAAAATGTTTTGGAGAAGGGTTGAGTGAAAAACTTATAATGGTTTCCCCTGCACAGCCTGCCCCGGAAAGCAGGGACTATACTGCCTAGAGGGGCAGCTGCTGTGGGTTGGAGTGTGTTTGTTTGTCCGTCCGTGTACGTGCATAGCGGTGTCCCAGCGCCTGTGCTTGACCAGCTGGTTGTCTGTGCACGGCCGTTGCCTGTGCTCGTTCTGCACCGAGAGGTTCCCCTAGCCCGGGAGGCGGGGCCGACCCGCCCTGTCTCCGCCCAGCCGCCCGCCCCAGGGGGACTCGCTGCCGGCCCGGGCCTAGACCGCGCGCTAGACCGGGGTTTTGCGCACTGGCTGCGGACCGAGCGCCGGGCTAGGGAGACCAGCGGCTGGCGCTGGGCCGCATGGAGTTGCTGGCGCTGCACACGCGGCGGCGGCGCGGGGCGCTGCTCCCGCAGGAGCCGGGAGAACCGGAGCGCGTAAGTTCCGCACCCGGAGGGAGTAGGGCGGTGCGTACGAGTCGCCACCGCGCCGAGGGCTCCGCGGTTTCCGGCGGCGGGCCGTGCCCCGGCGCGACTGCGGAGCACTCCTGGCTCCGCGGGCACGTTGCCAGGCCCGCAGCGCTCTGCTGCTACCCGGCAGATTCCCGAGCGGCGCTCGTAGCCGCTAACTCCTGCCTGGAGCCCCAGAGACTGAGTTAGCGCTGTAAGCTCCTAGCAGCTGCAAACCCCGCACTTCCCCCTTCCGTTTACACTACTCCCAGTTGTGCTGGGCACTATCCCTCTTTGTCCTTTCCAGAGAGCTCGCCGGCATCCACGCAGATTGGAAGCCCCCCTCACTTTTATTGATGAAAGGTAGTGGTGTCAGATGTATCAGCTTCCCCTTGGGCAAATCACTTCCCGTACCCTGACTCAGTTTCCCCAGCTGTAAAATGTGGATAATGATATTGACCTCTTTTAGCTACGAAAACGAGTTACTTACACTAAAGGGATTAGTCCACCATGGACTTTTAAGTTTCCTGCAAGTTTTGATCCGTTGTGTTGGGCCTTTGGCATACATTTGGCCCTTGACAGCCACCGAGGGATGACCCTACTGAAGACGCTGCATGTAGTTTAAGTTGCTATATCCAATATTAACTATATGTTGTGCCCATTCTTGCAATCTTTGCTGAAGCAAATTTCATAGTTACAGCTCTAGTCCCACAGACACTTGTGCTTATAACTTTACTCACATAGCTTCATGTGATCAAATTCCATATCTGCATATTTGCAGGATTGGAGCACAAATCAACAAGAAGCAATTTGTCTGTGTAAAAACTGCAGGTTTGAGTCCTTAACTCAAGAAAAGCCCAACAAAGAAAGTTTTTGTGATAGTACATGTACAGTAATGGGTATGTTCTCTAGAAATTAAATGAGTATTTGTGTTATAATACAGTCATGTTCTAATTGTTAGTTGTTGCTTAACCTTGAGTAGATATTGATATGATTAAAGGATTGTGGATATTTTGCTCTCAAGACACTTGCAGGAGGAACAATGGAAAAGTCTTATTCATTTTGTTGTAAATGAAGTTTTTCATTGTTTAAGTAAAAGCACTATATGGTTTGAGTGATCCAGTAAGGTTAATTTGAGGCTTTCCTCCAAATGTAATAGGCTTTGGATAGGTTTTGTGTAAACTAAGAAGTTACTAACAATTAAAAATGTAGTGTCTTAGGTTAGAAGGATAATAAGCGGTGAACTTTCTGAACTATATGCCATTAACTATTGTAATTTGAGTTTATTTGGCTGGAGTTTGGCTGTTGGCCCCCTAGCGTTAGTACTGAAATATTACTGAACTCTCTAGAGGCCCAACCCTGCATAACCTTCCACACCAATGCTTTCATGCAGAATTTAGCCCTAGCTAAAGTATTGAAGTATTTATTTGTTGTTAGCAAAATTAAAGTTAAAATTGAAATAGAATTGCGTGTTTACTTCCACAAGTACACTGATGGTTTGGTTGGACGAACACCTAATGATGAAGATTCCACAACCGCCCTTGGAAGCCTGTTCCAGTGCTTAACTATTTTCATAGTTAGAAAGTACATTTCCTCTATATATGCAAGATCTTGCTGACCTTTTCAATAAGAAAACTGGTAAAATCTGTCATGACCTCTGTCGTCTTCCTTTCCCATTATATACAGGCTACCCATCCACCACTTCAGGTTAGTGGAACCTATTCAATGAAGAAGCAAACATAAAATGAAGCTGGAGGCAAAAATTATCTAAGTCATTATGATCCCAAGCCCAACAGCAACATAATAGGCTCACTGTGAGAAAATCATCATTAAGGAAAGAAACAGGACTAACAAACTGATATTTGCTGATTGGAGGAGTTCTGAACCTCTGCTCATGTCCCAGCATGTGCAGTCACAGGCAGCAGTCAGTATCACACAACTCCGCTAAGGGATATTCATGAACATTGATAACCATTCTGTGGTGAATCCAAAAAAGTAAAAAGCTATCAATAAATCACCATACCTAGATGTTGGTTAAGAACTGGCCGTCCCTCCCTCTGTAATACTGACTGAGCCAAGTAGACATTGCACCATTTAATATTGATTGTAAATCACCCAAGACATGGGCCTTGAGCAGGGAAAACTGTACCAGTTGAATCAAAATAGTGGCTCATAGCGCCTTCCTAGAGTCCATATGTTGCCCATAACACTAGCTCATAAATATCCAGCAAATAAACCATCTGAGCCCTGTAGAATGGGAGGGCAGCACACAGGTCAGCCATGAAGACAACTGGGATTGGGTATGTGTGACTCCTCTGGCTGTGTAGGCAATTAGGTCCCATAGTTCTCACAGGATGCTAGTCAACTGCACAATGGAAATGATACATCATAACCAATTATTGCCTCTTGTACTAGAAATCCATGTGTTACGTCAAGCACCCATGTATCACTGGGAAGGCATGCTATTAGTATTAGAGCAGTATACAAAATTTTGCCGACCTGTAGCACATTCCTACCAAGCAGCCAGCATGTAATATTGCTTTAAACAACACTTCTCGTGGAGGGAGGAACATGCTATGGTTCTTATTCTCCTCTTCTTTTTGGTAGTGAAAGTTAGGAATAGTTAGCTAAGTTAATTTGTATTGCAAATGAATATCAGGATCCATGACTGCTCATCAGCCTAAACATGAGAGGATAATCTTTAGCAGTTAAGAAAAAGGACATAGTTTGCCACCCAGACGAAGCATGTTGATGCAGATACATAGCACCCTACAGTTGGAGGAATGCAACAGGGCATACTGTAGAACAGTAATACTCAGACCTCAGTGGTTCAGGAGGCAAATTAGCAATCAGCGTTTCCCAAAGGACCACAGTAGTGTGAATATATTATTCTCACAGCAAAATGACTGACCAAACATTATTTTATCAGCTACAATTAGTGGTTAATAACATAATAAAAGCATCCCAATTGGTTAATAATTAACTCACACAGTATTTTAATATCACATCCTGCATAGAGCCACAGGAGATACATTAAAGAGCCACTTGCAACTCACGAGCCTCAGTCTGAGTATCACTGCTGTAAACCAAAAGTCATCTTCCAAATTACCAACTGCTACCTCACTAGCACATGTCCCCACATAAGTGCTCATATCATTTTGAGGCTTGCCGTCTTTATGAATCAAGACCCTGGGGAGAACAATTGATACAAGTATTGGCTAGACTTGTAACTACTCAACCCCCACTCAACCATCATTCACAGCTGCACCCACAAACCATGAACCATCCCGTATGTGTTACAGAAGTGGTTGTTAAACCCACAGGATGGGAACCAATGACTGCACATCCCCCAGTCCCAGGTTAACATCTGTCATAAGCCAAGATTCGTAGTGTATTAACCTACACATGACTATGATGTACATGAACACAGTTGCTTCCACAGTGCTAACGTATTTCGATGTGCGAAACCTTCCATTCACTAAAACATACACTGAACAGGCACACAGACCATTTAGATACATGCTCTCTGAAAATGTCCATAGTATGATATACTTCTTGCAGCCATGTTGCCCATGGTCAGCACAGACCTGATATGCTATTAAATGGTTCTACATATATACTATTATTTATTAGCCCTTATGTGGCAGACATACATGCGTCTACTGACACAGCTTTCCTCAGTATTTGTTCTGGCTTTGCAGCTTGTGATGTCCCATCTGTTTTAAAAGGGAATGTTGTATCCTGTATAGTTATTCTCTGAGTGGGTGAGGGCAGTCTGTAGACAGTTTTACTTATTTCTAAGGGTATGTCTAGACTGCCCACGTGGCATCGCTGCCGTGGCAGCGCTGTGACATGGGCTGTGTAAATGCTTTATTGCCAGGGGAGAGCTCTCCCGGCAATAGAAAAAACCCACCCCGAATGAGCTTTATCGGTTCCTGGTGATAAAGCATTGTCTATACTGGCACTTTTCAGCGCTAAAACTTTTGTTGCTTGGGGGGGAGGGGTTTCACACCCCTGAATGACAAAAGTTTTAGCGCTGAAAGTGGCAGTGTAGGCACAACCTAAATGGTATTGATGAAGAAATAGCCGCACTTTAGTTGGTATTCTTCCTTATTACCAGTTGGCAATACTAACAATATTCACTTGCTACTGTCCTACTTCTGAAATGTCTCACGAGGAGAGTCTGTTAGGAGTTTATTGTTGCATTCTCAGAATAAAAGTTTTAAGCTTGAATAAGTTCATTTCTCTAACCAAATTCATTCCAAGAAGGTGTCTCTCACCTCCTAGCTTGTAAGCATTTTTCTTTATAGTGAGTGCCAGGGCATTCACTTTGGGGAAATTAACAGGAGCCTCAGGACAACTTGTGTTGGTGCTCATATGCTCTTACTCCATTGGTTGATCATGCCAGTTTGAGTGTGACATGAGCAAAAACCTATCTAGTTAGAGGCTAACCTTGTCCATCAGAGAAATACCATTTACAGGTAAGAAAATAAAAGTCTGTTAGTGAACTCTTGCTTTCAAACCCTGTCTGACTATAAGTGAGTAGAATGCATAAGAAAGAAAGAACTTCTCTTTGTTCCTTTTTGAGGTTACACAGCCAGATAATGACTTGTCCTGGCTCGGGCATTGTAGTTTGTCCATGTGAAGTGACAAATAAATTAGAGAGACCATTTTTCAGAGAGGAGATAAAATTATCCTTTCAGATCCACATGCCAGATCCCAACTTGCCTATTCTGCTCTCTCTTTCCTGTGAGAGATCCTTGCATCTAGAGAGCAAATTACTAGTCACAATCCAAAAAGAGAATTTTCCTCTAAAGGAGCAAATTAGTAGCTACTCATGATTGCAGCACAGGTGTTCTATAAGCCAAGGAAGTGGAAACTAGTTTCTGTTTTAGACTTAAACTAATAGTAAAAGCCTTAAGATTACCAGTAGTATTAATGCTGGGAAACTGGTCTTGTTTTATAATTTGCTGAGCATTGTACATAGCTCTACACTTTGTTTTTAAACAGCGAAACTCTTCCCTTTTAGGTTCCTTCTAACATGGAATCTTTGGGCCTGACTGTGGCTATTAAATTGCTGCCTACAAAGGGTGTAGTGTGCATCTACACGGTTCTAGCAGGATCTTCTGGAGGCATCATTCTTGTGGCAGTCAGTACCCTGGGGAGCCCAGAGGAAACTCAGACACTGACATCCTTTCAAAGGGCATGGTGGGCGTTCTGCTGCAGAGGAGGAAAGGTGCCATAATGCTGTCCTCTCTGGAAAGGCTAGCACCACTTCGGATACTAGCCTTCTTCATTCTTTTTACTCTAAGTGCAAAAAGCTAGTTGCTAGGTTCCTGTGCAGGGGGAAGATTCCTTGTGTCCTCTCTTCTCTCCCTCTTGTCTCATCTTAGCCTCCCTCACACGCCTTTGCACATTATTCGTCTATATGGTTCCCTTTTCTATGTTTGGGTAATTCTTCCTGTATATTATAGGAGCTTGACTTAAGATAGAGCCCTAATTTTTGAGAGGTTCCTTATTAACTTTGTATTAATTTCCAAGTACTTTGACTTGAAGGTTAGCAAAAGGCTCAGCATTCTCTTAGGGTACGTCTATACTTACCTCCGGGTTCGGCGGTAAGCAATCGATCTTCTGGGATCTATTTATCGTGTCTTGTCTAGACGCGATAAATCGATCCCGGAAGTGCCTGCCGTTGACACCAGTACTCCTGCTCCGTGAGAGGAGTACGCGGAGTCAACGGGGGAGCCTGCCTGCCGCGTATGGATCCGCGGTAAGTACCTTGTAGTTCGAACTAAGATACTTCGACTTCAGCTACGTTATTCACATAGCTGAAGTTGCGTATCTTAGTTTGAACTGGGGGGTTAGTGTGGACCAGTCCTAAGACTGCACGTTGGGAGTCTGTTTTGTACATACTTGCTGTCATCCAGCTGGGACACAGGCTGAGATATACTATAAACAAAAGATAAAACAAAACAACTGCTAGTGTAGTTATTAGTATATACAGGAGAAAAATGTTTGGCAAAGAGAGAACAAATGACAATAGGAATAAGCACTTGACATTGAAGCTTCTAAGAAGATGTTATAAATCTTTCGGTGGGTGTGTGTGTATATATTTAAAATTATAAGAAAGCAGTTGACAGTCTCTCAAAACCATCTGCAATTGTGTTTAGCTCAGTTAATTTTTCATATTAGTTCTTGCACCATCTGTATCACCCTTTCATGATCAGTGTATTCTACAAAGAGAGGAAATAAACTTGTGGCAACTTCACCAGTACTCAAGCACCACTGAGAACAGCCGAGCACCATCCTCTTTGGAACCCCACTTCAGGTAGTTGCTGCCTTCTATGAAATCCCCCCGCATTCTT